TCTGGCATAATCGGTTAGGTCATTTATCTTTTTGGTCTTTGAAGAGTCTGTTTCCTACTTTATTTGAGTCTGTTGAGATGTCAAATTTGAGATGTGAGAGTTGTGAGCTTGTCAAACATTGTAGAACATCTTATTCCTTGAGTAATAAAATAAGTAGTAATTCTTTTGATATTGTGCATACCGATGTTTGGGGCCCGTATCACATCCCTTCTATGGGGGGTACAGATATTTTCTATTGTTTGTTGATGACTATACCCGGTTTTCTTGGGTCTACCTTATGCGTTCTCGAGATGAGGTTCCCGCTCTGACCCAAAACTTTCATCAGATGATTTTAACCCAGTTTGGGGTCAAAATCAAAGTCCTTAGATCTGATAATGCAATAGAATACTTTACCAAGTCACTGGCCTCTTATCTACTCGATCATGGGGTTATTCACCAAAGCACTTGTCCTCATACACCACAGTAGAATGGGATTTCCGAGAGTAAGAATAGGCACATTTTGGAGGTGGCTAGAAGCATTATGTTTACCTCCAATGTGCCTATCCGTTTCTAGGGTGATGCTATCCTCACGGCAATGTATCTCATTAATCGGGTTCCCTCACGGGTTCTTGATATGAAGCCTCCGTTTACCCTTCTATACCCAGACGAGGAGTTGTTTATTGTTCCTCTTAAAACCTTTGGTTGTACTTGTTTTGTTCAGATTCTTGGACCTCATCATTCCAAATTTGACCCTAAGGCCTCCAAATGCATTTTTCTCGGTTATGCACAAACTCAAAAAGGGTTATTGCTGCTATGATCCTGTTTCAGTGAGGAAATTTGTCTCGATGGACGTCACCTTCTTTGAGGAGGCACCCTATTATCCAAGGGTTTCTCCTCAGGGGAAGAGTAGTGAGAATTTGGGGAATTTGGGTCTTTTTCCTCAGGAGGAGCGCAGTGAGAGTGAGGTTAACTCATCTGAGGTTATTCCTTTACCCATTCCATTGAGTAATGAAGGCTATAATGGTGAGGGTTGTCAGAGGGATCAGGAGTTGAAAGTCTATCATGGGCGATGCAGGCAGGTTGATCTCAGTCATCAGCAGTCCAGGCCAACCCCAGTTCCTTCTACGGATCCAGATCTAGGTACTATAGTCCCAAGGCCCACTGAGATACCTTCTACTGTTGCTACTTCCCCTCATTCGGATGACATTAACCTCCCTATTGCGATTCGTAAAGGGAAACAACGCTGCACCACATCCACAGCTCACTGCATTTCCCAGTTTGTATCCCATGATCGCTTGTCTCCCTCTTACAGGTCCTTTCTCACTTCCATTGCTGATATTCCTATCCCCAGAACAGTGCAAGAAGCCTTATCAGTTCCAGAGTGGAAAGATGCAATGAAAGTTGAAATGGATGCCCGTTTGAAAAATAATACTTGGGAGCTAGTTGACCTACCCAAAGGAAAGAAACCAGTTGGATGTAGATGGGTATTTACTGTGAAACATAATGTTGATGGCTCCATTGAAAGGTACAAAGCCCGGTTAGTTGCAAAAGGTTTTACTCAGACTTGTGGTATAGACTACTTGGAGACTTTTGCCCCAGTAGCCAAGATGACCACTATTTGAGTTCTATTAGCCCTTGCAGCAAGTTACTCTTGGCCCTTGTTCCAGATGGACGTTAAAAATGCCTTTCTGAATGGAGACTTATAGGAAGAGGTCTACATGCAGTTGCCCCCTGGATTCCATGATGCAGAGACAGGTAAGAAGGTTTGCCAACTGAATAAGGCATTGTATGGACTAAAGCAGTCCCCTAGAGGTTGGTTTGATAGATTCAGACTAGCCCTTGGAAAATTCAGCTATGTACAGGCCCAGTCAGATCAAACACTGTTCATTAAAAGAGTGAACTCTTCTTTGACCTAGCTTGCTGTATATGTGGATGATATTGTAGTGACAGGGAATAATAATAGTGAGATTAAGTCCCTTAAACAGCTCCTTCATCAAGAGTTTGAGGTGAAAGATCTTGGTGCACTGCGATATTTTTTGGGTATTGAGGTTGCTAGATCTAAACAGGG